TCTCACTCTTTCGATAGTGTTGAATTGAGGTCACAAATCAATACACAGCAGAAACACAAGCTAGGATCAAAAGACATGGTAAAGGATGAGACAAAGCACACACACTACTCTATTGCTTTACTTTCTATTACATAATTACATTCCCTGAACTAATCACACTTCTTTAGTCACACCTTCTTTAAACTTCTTGGGTAATCCTTCAATTAGCTCACTAGCTTCCTTCGACGCCAAGCTAGTCAAAGCCCTAACAGCTTTAATCACAGCAATACGAGAACTACTTGGAACTTCATTGATAACCAATAACCACATCGAATTCGGTTTGTTCCTCCACTACAGCCGCCGCGCCACCGTCGGCCGGAGCGTCCGTGGAGATGATGATACTGGTGAAAAAAACCCTCCGATTGCTTCCGATTTGAGAGATTTCGCTTCCGATTTCACAATCGCATTGAAAGAGGCGACGAAGAAAAGAAACACGGGAATAGTTTTTTCTCTTTCATACAAAACCCTTCAACCAACCACACCGCAACACATCAGAGGCTCTCAGTTTCTCCATCGCCACGTATGCGTCTCTCTTCAGCTCCAAAATCTCTCCTAAGAGAAACGATTCTCTTAATATTAAAGCTTTCTGATTTATTTTTTTTTACAATAATTCAGAGAGACTTTCATAAGAGCTCTATTTTTCTCCCATTGGAGATGCTCTAAGGAGAGATTTGTGTAAAACGATCTCGAGACGCGGGCTAAGATGCTCACTATCAAATCATCTGGAAGTGATGGATTTCATTGAATTTTCATGCACCTTTTTAAAAATAATTTTGAATCACCATAAATTTCTATAACACAACTCAAAATTACTAGTAGATGTTATGTCAGATGATCCATTTCGTTTTTGATCAAAAGGAAAAGGACCTATTTCAAACCGAGCTTTTTCCATCGTGCCGTTTTGTACAAACAAAGTTATAGTGCTTGTTTCAATCCGAACAACTAAAAAATTCAAATAACATGTATGAACTTCAAGAAAAATATATAATCGAAGTTGACCATCATGGAAATTAGTCAACAGTTTAATGTGCTACCTCGGATGGTGGCGTGACACCGACTTAGCATCACATATTTCAAAATAACGTTGTTTTAATTTGATTAAAAATGTTTTTTAAAAATTTGTCACTTGAGATATTCGAATTTCGTGAGAGATACCAAAGTTACCACCCGGCCAAAGGAATAATTTGTAATAATATTATCAGCTTTAAATTATATATGCAAAATGTCTAATCTTTTAAATGAAAGACATTTTCATTTTAAAATATGAAAATATTTTTTAACTGATGCCAAATCGTTGTCACGTCACCATTCGAATTAGCATATTAAACGGTTGACTAGTTTCCGTGAAAAGCAACTTCGATTTAGTTATTTTTATTGAAGTTCTCATACAGGTTATTTGAAAATTTTTAGTTGTTCGGATTGAAATAAGCACAATGACTTTGTTTAAGTATGAAAATGCACAATAGAAATTGTTCTATTTGAAATGGACCCTTTTTCCCTTGATTAGATGATCAGTTTCGTTTTGTGTATTTGAATCTTATTTGATTTGAATTATAAAAGTTTGTGGATAATGAGTTCATTGAAATATGATAACTATGTTCGGTTGAGAGAAAATAAAATACTGACGTAACAAATTCAAGATCCCGTTTGGTAATTTCTTTGTTGGTTGGCTACAAAACATGAACATAAGCCTCAGCTTAAACAAAGCAACTTGGTCATTCACTACATGGATGAGAAAGCCCAAAGGACTATAGTCACTATACAACATATAAAACAAGCACTGAGTGTATCTTGTTTTAGTTGTTCTCGTGAATGTAAAGAGAATCAGTCTGCAAGTGGGTGCATATGTTTAGAGATGAAACAATGTCCGCTAAAAGAATGAGAGAAGCATTCATCAATCATCATAGTCACATCTATATATATATACATTCAGAACAAAAACGACTATTGCCCGCTTGTCTCAAGAATCATTAAACGATGTTTGACCTCCAAAGGCTTATCCAAGAGTCCAAAAATAAGCATAATCATCTACAAGCGAGTTTAGATGTTTCTAACTTTCTAAGCGAAAACAATGTCAATTGCATTCCGCTATAAACACAAGACATTCCTTCAATTGTGACATACTAAATAAAAGAAAGCTTCATATCTGTGTCCTGAGTCATTAATCAAAGAGTAGCAGCATTAGCACACAAGATTTTGTAAGACTTAGGGACTCTAAGCACCGCATCAAACCACTAAACATACCCCCAAATCTCTTTACTGTTACGCTTTTCAAGCGAAATCTCCGCACATCAAATCATCTTCTCCTTATACCCACTCGCAGGCACATACTTGTCCCACAAAACGACCAGCTTGCCGCCACACTCCGCCAATCTAACAGTACAATAACTAGAAAACTTAGGTAGCCCTTCTAATTTTCTCCAAATTGCTTTCTTACCATCAATGGTTTTAAAACCAAATGATGTCTATAATTAAAAACATTCTCGAACCAAGCTAAAATTCTCGAATCCGAACCAAAATTTTCAAAGACGTACGAACTCAAACTGAACTGTAGAATATCTCGAATAAAATTAAAATTTATCTATGAAATGATCCCATCTCAAACCGAACAAACTAACCAAGAATTATTAAAAGATGCAAAACACCATATATTTCTGCAACATATTCAGTGAGTCACTAACGTTTTCAACAGATTCTTCCTTTTTTTTGGCACACAGAACAACTAAACCTCTCTTTTTCACACTAGATCATTCATAAGTCCAATTCGTTAGTTTAATGCTATGAACCTAGTAATCACGTATATTCATAAAAACACACGGTCTGTCAAATGCATCATAGTGGTCAATGGCACAAAATAAGTTAACCCTTCAAAATTTCAACACAATTCAAAAATGAAGGTAGAGCTTGGGACACATGATCAATTTAATTTTCTGTACATTTGAATCTAACTTGAATTGAATCATAAAAAAAAAGAGAGTATATAATTGGATAATAATATGTTCGATTGAGAAGAAAAGAAAGAGTGGCTTGAGAAAGTCCACTCGTATAATATCAAATTCAAGACCCTATTTGGGAATGAAACAGAGGATCCTCAAATTGTTTCAGTAGCAATTTCTTTGTAGGTTAGTTTGGCTACAATTACAAGAGATGAACATAAGCCTCAGTTTAAACAACAAAACAAGCACTAACTCTATGTATCTTGTTATAGCTCTTCTCATGAATGTAAAGAGAACTGTACTCTTCTATGCAACACAAACAAAAATATTCTCATAGACAAAGTAAGCTTAATCAGTCTACACGTGAGTGCATATGTTTAGAAGTGAACAATGTCTGCTAAAGCATGAGAGAAGCATTCATCATAGTCATACATATATACATATAGGCAAACACATACATTCAGAACAAAAACGACCATTGCCCGCTTTTCTCATGAGTCATTAAACAGTAGCAGAAAGAGTTTGGCATCAAAGGGTTTATCAAAGAGACAGTCACGGAATATTTATAAGGCAAAAACAATGTCAACTGCATCCCGCTAAAAACACAAGACATTCCTTCAACTGTGACATACTAAATAAAAGAAAGCTTCATATATAGCTGTGTCATGAGTCATTTAATCAAAGAGTAGCAGCAGTAGCACACAAGATTTTGTAAGACTTAGGGACTCTAAGCACCGCATCAAACCACTCGACCTTCCCCCAAATCTCTTCATTGTTGCGCTTTTCAAGCGAAATCTCTGCACACCAAATCATCTTCTCCTTATACCCACTTGCAGCTACATACTTGTCCCACAAAACAACCAGCTTACCACCATAATCCGCTAATTTAACAGCACTGTATTTAGCAAACTTAGGCAGCCTTTCTAAACCCCGTAATATTCCCCAAACTACTGCTTCCTTAATGAAACCTTTTCTAAATAGAAATACTCCACTAGGGTTATAAAGATAGACTACGTTATCTATCGTACAAAGAGAACCCCGATCCAAATCCAAATTTAACGCTTCCCATGTCATAATCTTTGGCGTTACAAGCACAACCTCCTTAGTAGACTCTACACAAACGTTCACGTAAATCTTTCCTTCCATATTTTCCAATTTGAATATCCGTCTTCTGGGCGGCACGGGATTCCAAGTTCGAGTCATTGTGTTGTACATTTCAACACAGTTCAAAGAATCTGGATTTTCAGAGCTTCCTGCTAAATAGATAGTCCCATCAAACTTACTATTGGTGTGAGCCAGTCGCATTCTTGGAGCTTCAAGCCAAGTGTGAGTTCGGCAGTCAATGTACAAACGTTAGAGCATGGAGAATCGTCGATGGCTGCGGTAATGGCGTAAAGATTAGAACCAACAGCGATGAGACTTGACCATTCCAAAGGAGGAGAATTGAGAACTGGGGTTGGAGCCAAAAGTTTAACAGTTGACTCCTCTTTCTTCTTCTTCTTCTTCTTCTTAGTTAGGGTTTGATTAGGTTTCTGGTAAAGAGTGAACCAGCGAGGGTTAGCTTCATCAGGGAAGCGTAAGCAAACGTAGAGAAAAGTCTCGGTTTTGCCTAAGAGGGTTCGGGTTTGGTATAGCTCCGGTGAAGCAAGGATCGATCGGAAGCTTTTGGAGACTAAGGAGAGTTTTGGGTAATACGATCTCGAGACACGGGCTAATATGCTCACTATCAAATCATATGGAATGGACGGGTTCGGAGTCGGATCTTTCGACGGCTTCTTCTTCTTCCACGGTGGTTGGCCGTCCGTGAAGGCTGAAGCGGTGGACGATATTTGTGAACTATCAAAATTTAGGGTTTTGAGTAGGCCTGCGACTTTGAGCCGAATGGTTAATTCGGGTTCGGTTCTTCGGTTTCTCGGTTTAATCGGAAATTGAAACCTATTCCGAATCGAACCGACTAATAATTCGGTTCGGTTCGGTTCGGACACGGTTTAGTCGGTTTTTATAATTCGGTTTAATCGGTTTTCTACCAAAAAGAAGAAAATTAAAATTATTACAAATTCAGAGCATTCATCATGAATATACAACAACAACTCAGTAACTTGACAGAAATGAAATACAATAGATACATAAGATGTTCCAAAAAACATGTAACTTGACAGAAATGACAAAAAACCAATGATCCATTATACCTAATTTCCTACAGAGCATAGATGCATTTGGTATGTTGTCATTGTTCTCCTGACGCCAAAAGAGAAAGAGTTTGTTGTTCAAAAATCAAAAATAGAGAGAGAAAGAGACAAGCCTTTAAGCCTTGAAGATCATATGTGTTAGTCACCTTGTCTGTTAGACAGAAAAATAAGAAAATGTTAGTGAAAATAACAAGGCTGACTTGTTAATGAAAAAAGATCAGTGTACCTCAATTTCCAACTCCAATTCAAGGGTCAACTGATGATTGGGCATGAGTCTGTGAACCTACACAAGGCAAATGAAATGCAATTGAGTCTATAGTAAAAACCAAAAAAATTGAAAGATAGAATGATTACCTAAATACTCATGAAACTCCAATTCTTCAAACATTTGAACCAAGTTTGCTAACTTCTCCTCATGAATGGTATTTCTGAGCCATTGTTGAGTACAGATCAATGATTCAACCATGTGTGGTGACAAGCAACTTTGGAAAGGGTCCAAAATACGACCACTGGTGCTGAATGCAGACTCTGAAGCAACAGAGGAGACCTGAATGGCAAGCACATCTCTTGCTAACTCTGATAAGATTGGGAATTTTGAACTGTTCTTCCTCCACCAGCTTAAGACATCATAATCCAGTCCCAAACCATTTGTAGTTCTTGGCACTTGTTTCTCAAGCAAATAAATGTCAAGTTCGCTACTAACTTCTTCATTTGCAGTCTCTGCTACCATCTCAGAGTACAAAGAGTCCATCCTCTCATAACCATCATCATCTGTCAAATCAAACAAGGCACTTAGATCGGCTGCTTAAAGCCAGATTGTCTGTTTGCTGAACGAAATGCTTCCACACAGATGCTCTATGAGCTGGCCTTTTCCTCGGTTTGACTGCAAAACCAGAACTTGATCTCTGAGATTTTGTTCTTTTTCCTCCAACTGAAGAGGGAGGTGGACCATCTTCTTCCATATGGTTCTCTTGACCAAGAATGTCATCATTGTTGTTTTCTGATTCCGACTCCATCTGCAAATTAAAAGAACAAACAATCAGATAAGAGACTACATAATCAAATGAATAACAACACATAAAAACAAAATCTCTTAATCATATAACAGAGAGACAAGAACTTTCAAAGATATCTTGATAATAGCCTCGCACTCTGGTTTCAAAGATGGGAAACGACGAGATGCTATTTTTAATTAAGAACAAAAGCAACAATCATCAATGAGTCAAACAAAACATTTATTAACACTATGCATAAAGCTAACGTTGCATTTATAAAATCAAAGACTCATAGGTGGACGACCTAACATGTTGCCAGAAATTCAAAGTCATATACAGTAGCCTAAATGGAGATCAAAGTCAACACAAGAAAACCAAAAACGTCGGTTCATATAATCAAAGTCAAAATCGCTGAACCTATTAATTTTTTTTTAAAATAAGGTTCTCAAACCAGTACACAACAAGATGAAGCTACAAAAACAATGAAAGAAAACAAATCAAGCATACAAAATAAGAGAGAGTACCAGTGTAAGAGATAATGGCGAAACGCGAGGTTAAGAGAGAGAACTTACAAAACAACTACAATCGAACACAGATGATGAAGATCGAAGTCGAAGAACACACGGAGTAACGAATGATGAAGATCGAAGTCGAAGACCGAAGCTCAATATCTCGGGTTTCGCCGCCTGAGAGAGAGACTGCGATTAGGTTAGGGTTTTTATTTTTACAACTAATGCCTGGTATAACACTTATATACTTAGTAACTTAGGGTTAATTTTCGGTTAACCGTCGGTTATCTCTTTTCCGAACCGAACTGAATGCATAACCGAACTAATTTTATTATCATTCCGATCGGTTCAGTTTACAATTATGAACCGAACCGATTTGTCCAAATTCCGGTTCGGTTCGGTTCGGACAAATCGGTTCGGTTCTCTTTCCCAGGCCTAGTTTTGAGCTTTACGCGCCTGAGATAAATTCTACCGTGGGCCTAAATTTAGAGATTAATTTTTTTTTTTAATTCTACACTATTAATTATTTTTATTCATAAGTAAATTATTCGAGAACTCTTATTTGATTTTTAAATGAAAAAAAACTTTCATTCAGAAGGAAATCTTCTACAAGTAAATACAAAGGTAACACAGCCTTAAAAAAATTAGTCATCGAAATGCATATATACGATCTTAAGCAATCTATCACATATTGTTGAAGGAGTTTGGTGAGCTACTTCTAGTTCTAGCTCTGAATATTCTTGTGTATTTTTTCTGTTGTAAACGTGTATTGAGAAGTAATTCTTCTACAAGTAAACTCAAACAATGCCAAACTAGTCTTAGCTATGCAAAATCCCATTCAAATATTCGAAATTCTTGTTTTGATTATTCGATCAAAGAACTTTTATTCAAAACTAAATCTTATACAAATAAAAAATGGGAACATCATAACAAAGAATGACAAACTATTTTTAGCGAAAAGGAACATTATTAAAGGAGACATAAGTCTTACTTCTTTCTCATTAACACAAGAAAAGAAATACAAACGAAGACTACACATTAGTGGAAACAGTTTGATCAGCTTCTAGGTTTTCAGATTCCTTGCAGCACAAGCCACCCCATCTACTTTTAAATTGCAAAACCTCCATCACGGTCGCGAACATTCCAATGACTCCAATGATGGTAGTGTAAGCAATCTTCCATGAGCTTCCGGGTTGCAAGATGGCTAAGCCTTTGTAGATGTTGTAGACGCTTAGTACAATCACTACATATCCGGTAATGTGATGGTACCAATTCCAATATTTTTTGTACTTATGTTCCTTGTCCGGTCTTGCTTTGAAGGCAAGTATCTGTAGAAAGCCTAGAGCGAACAAAAAGATCCCTATCACGGTATGCGGTGTAGATCTCATTCCTGTGTGTTTAGCCATGTAGATTGCAGTTCCTAATCCTCCTAATAAACCACCGAAATAACCAGTGGTTTGGAAAATGATGTGTATGTAGAACCACATGGGATCCAGTCCTTTGTAGGTCCTCATGTACCTTGCAGCTATGACACCAATAGGCATGAAAATACCCCAACACACCGCGTTCACTAGTCCATGGATATTTTTGACTAGTAACATGTTATCGTTAGCTGCTTTTGAGGTCGTGACTTGTCCGGACAGCAAATCCAAAGTAGCCGTGGATTTAAGATGATCTCCACTCATGGCGTGCATCCCAAGTCTATCACCTTCCTTCAAGGGACCGTCTTGCCATAAATGATTCACGACGGTTATGTTAGAAGGCAACACTATAGTAGCAAATATAGTCATCTCTCCATTGAGATATTCACCGGATAGTTGCAATACACGGAAGCTGAGAGGACCTTCTTGAAGTGTAGGTGAGTAGCCTTTGATTGAGGAAGTATAGACACGCATAATACCAGACGTGGAATTACGGTAAGCCAAGAGAGTTTGAGAACCTGACATGCCTTTGCTTGTCGGGTTTATCCCCCAAGCGATCCACCTAGAAGATTCAACGTTGATGTGACGATACGCAACTTCAAGCACTCCGGTTTCTCGAACGTAACTGAAGTGTAGAAAAGAATCTAACACGGGAAGGTCAACGCATGAACGGAAGTGTTTGCCGTTGTTAAAGCTGTGTGAGTCGCATCTAGCTTGAAGTTCATCGGTTGTTGCTCTAGTGAAGTATGGAGCGAGCCCGAACAGAAAACACAAAACCACAAAAACGGTTGTTTTTGGAGACAAAGACATGATGATGATTGCGTTTTTACTAGGAGACAAACGTAGGTTAAATCTTCCGAAGTCAGAGTCTTGCTTTGCTTTGGAAGAAAGAGATTTCTGAATTTTGGACTAATGTAGTTCGTGTATTTATACCGGTATAGGTATACAATTCGATCCAAGTTTGTTAGAGAATATATGGTTTTATTATCCTTTGCCAATATATTTCCATATTTTAATACTTTTCCTTTTCTGCCAAAACAAATTCTATATTTTTATGCTTTTTTCTTTTTTGCCAAAATATTTTCTCATATTCGAGAAAACATTTTATTTTTGTAATCTATTTATTCATATCAATGAAGGGACAATCTTTCGATCAAATTCTCAGATACTCCTCAGATTCAAAATTTAGTCTCAAATACTCCTTAATGGTAGAAAGACAAAATTACCCTTAATGAGGGTTGATTTCGGGTGATAAGGGTTAAATACAATTAAATCGGTAAGTGTTCAACGAAAAACACAATAGCTCAGTGGTTGCGAGCTCCATGCGCACGCGCGCGCCCCCAGGGTTCGAATCCTTTTATACGGGTTGTAACTGGTACAACTAGGGAATATTCGGGAATATTCTGGTACATCTACGTTGTAGTACAACTAGGGTTGTAGTACAACTAGGTGATACAAGTAGGAGGAGATACAACTAGGTGGTGGTACAAGTAGGAGGAGGTACAAGTAGGAGGAGAAACAACTAGGTGGTGGTACAACTAGAGAGTTTCGTCCTTTCATTAAAAGGAGGAGAGTATGTAGATTAATTCTTTGACTCTGAAGAGCAATTGAGATTAATCTCCGACATCTTTGGGCCTTTGGCGCATGGTCTCGACTCTCGATATGTAATTTTATATTTACCTTTGCTAAGTTAATCAGATGACAGAAAAAAGAAATAGTTTGTATATTTACATCATTACATTAATCATAACATAAAATATTAGTAATGAAGCCGAGTAGAAATAACACCACATAAAATATTTCAGCTAAATTAATTATATAAGTTTAGAAATAATATAATTTATAATTAACGACGTCAAATATATCCTATACTATTATTTGGGAAGTACATCATATAAGTCGTAACGTTGATTTTGTAAGAAATTACAATATATGCCATTAGATATTTCTAATCATAATCATTTTAATTTCATGTCACTAATATATATTAACGGGTGAACGGGTCAAACGGATTTAAAGATATTAAAGAGATTTTGTTTAGATTTTATAATTGTTATAAATAAAATTTATACAGAAAATGTTGTTATTCACGTATGATAAAAGTATTCACTAATCAAAAAATAGAAATAGATCGTTTTTATTTACCTTAATCACGCATCAAATATTTTCTGTTATTCAGTTTCCATAAAATCTTTTGAAAATATTGTTGGTAGTTATAATTTGTTTAGATTTAGATATAAATTCGTGCTATTAAAATTTATTTAATAAAATTTTTACGAATTTTTTGGTGTACATCTTAAATTTAAAAACTAAATTGCTAACTAATCCGAGTTTGGTAACTATATTTTCGTTTGTTATTTTTAGTATTTATTAAAATTTTAAAAAATAAATGCTACATAATCTATTTTTTCATTTATTTTCTACAAATGTATAAGAAATTTCCAAGATTTTCATAATAAATACAAAATTTCTAAATATATTTAATGTTGAATCCTTATCTAATAATTCACAAGTCATTTCACTATTAACTGCAGCTCTCTCCATGTTACACCTGTTTTAAGTCCCAAATTCTCTACTTTTATTTTCCAACTTCTTCTATCGGTCCTTGGGATTTAGAAGACCGTTTCCTCAATTCTACTCATCACGATCTCTACACTTCTTCCACGATTGCTAAGATCCGACAAAGAGTCAATTATAAAATTCTCACTTGATTAAAAACCAGAAATTCTCTATTTGCTTCATCCTCCATTCAAAACCATGAAATTCAAAAGTATGGAACTATGGAGAATAAATCAAACGAAAAGGATGAGATTGAAACCGAAAAACTCAAAGGAACTTAAACTATCGGCAAAAAGGTATGATTTTTCATGATCAAAAAATTGAAATCCATGATTTTAATCATCTTAATCTTCAATTGAATAATAAATAGTTTTTGTGAATAAACAACAATATTTTTATTATTAAAAAGTTAGTAATCAAGTCAATAAATTTACCCGTGCAGGCACGGGTCATAACACTAGTATTCTATAAGTCGAGATCATATTCAAATCTTTTTATTTCCTTAAATAAGGCTTTTTTGTTAAAAAAAAATATATTCTATTTTTAGTTAATTATTTTAGTTTGAATATGTAAATATTAAAAGATTTAATCAAAAGATTATCATTCAATTTATTAAGATTGCTTTGCAAGCTACAAGAATATTCCACAAGAAGATCTCAATTTCTTAACCCTAAATCGACATCTCCACTTCATTATATAAGATCATCTATTTCTCTGAACAAGACATCCATTTTTTTCCCCAATTTTATATGATTGTTTTTTCTCTATTTTTGCTCAATCAAATTTATTTGTTTCAGTTTAATTAGCTTTATTATTATCAGATTATATATAATTTCATATACATTGATGTTAATATCTTTTTCTAATATAAATTTTTTTCTACATTATGCAGGCGCATATTATATTTGATAATGGAAAAGCAAAATTCACATTTGATTGGGATGTGAATTTTAAAATTCAAGGTACAATACTTTTAATTTTCCATTGCTGCTACTTAGATATATGCTTTAACCAGATTTCAAGATTGAAAACTACAAAATTACAACGAAAAAATGATAAGATTTGTAAGCTTAGATTTTTACTTTCAAATATATTAAAACTTGCTAACAAAAATATACTTGAAAGACTTGTCAACAAAAATTCCTTTTAATTGATATTTGCGTTTTATCTTGCGTCTTGACGTTGTTAATTCGTAGATTTATTCCGTAATCAAGGAAGAGAGATAAAATTCTTATCAAATATTCTTTTTTTTTTTTTAAACAACATGATACTGGGCCAAACAAAACCCAATATAGTCCACGTAAAAACTTAGACCCAATACAATTTTTTTTTTTTTGCTCTCAATGACACAATGCAATTATGAATACCTAATAGAACCACATAAATTGTTAATCTAATATAAACA